AGAAAATTTGTCAAATCACTTCGATCAGAAACTCGAAGAAAGCGATACAGGTAAAAAAATGACAAATAGTCGAAAGTATTTCGATTGAAATATATTTAGACGATAATGATTCGTTCACACCGATATTTATTTCAGGGATTCTTGTACGTTGTTCCCCACGACAATGAAAGAGCCAAACGAGGACAGGATATCACATTCGGTTAATTTCATAATATGGCTTTACGTTGTTTATGCTTTGTTACATCTATTGGTCTTTTTGTTTGATTATTTTTTATGGAAAGTTAAATTTCAAGTTTATTCTATTTTAACGTGTTAATATATACACATGTATATATTTGTAAGGTCTATCTATATGTGATTTTTGTAAAGTGATTAATATTTTTATATAAAGGGAAGAAATTTGTAAAATATATTAACTATAAAAATTTCAACGAGGTTTTTTTTAAAAAAAAAAAACGATTTTGATACACGTGCGCCTCTTTCAAATTTCTCGTTCAATCGAGCGAACGGAATCGAACATATCCAGGGAACGGAATGGAAACGAATATAAGAGGAATATAAGAGGAATGCAAAGTTCTATCCAGACGAATGTATCTCGATCGATTTGGAAGAAATCTATGAGCTTCATCTCTCGACCTAGACAAGAAATATATTTGCATTTCTATCTTCGATCGAATCATCCTCCTTTTACAAAATACGAGGGATACGATAATGGAATCAAAATAATTATTTGGGCATGAAACGTAAATAACGCATATATTGTCGAAGGAAGGAAAAAAGAATGGCAGAATATCTCGTAAAACTGGCGTCAAACTCGCGGCAAGCGAGTAGAAATTAATGAAGTAAATCGATATCGAAAAATAAATACGATCCGAACGAAAGTTTAAATAACAATTTTCCATTACTATTTAATACAAAATCTCATTGCCGGTAATGCGCGGTCACCATCGTGTGATACATATTTCAGCGTCGAACGCAACCCCAAAAAACCATTATTTCGCTCATCCGTCCACCCCTCGTCATTCGTTCTCTACAACCTATGTACGCGGTGGGATTATATATACCACCACTGTCCTATATTACGCACAGCCCACACACACCTATCCTGCGAGCATTCATGCGTAGCAGTAACGTATGGCACGACGAAACCGCCCCATCACCACTGGAACCTTTCTCGTACTACAATAAAATTTCATGGCTAAGCTGCCTCTTATTAGATCCCCCAAAAGTGCCCTTCGTCTTATTCGCGACGTAAATCCCTGGCAACTCGTCTTTTTCACTTCCTCGAAACTTGCGTCGCTTATATTGATTGAAATCGAATCAAGTCTCGAATAAAGTCTCTAAATTTTTGCGAAAATTCCTTTCCTTTCCTTTCAACCTTTTTATTACGTAGGTAATAACAATAGATAGAATAAAAGAACGGAACGAAATAGAAACGAAGGATCTCCTTGTTATTCGATTTATCCCCAAAAAAGGATCTATAAATTATCCGGACAACGATATTCCACGATATTTAACGATACTCCACCACTTTTCCCTCCTCGCCGTCCAGAGGACACTCTAGTTGTCGCGAATTTGCACGAACCGAAGTGGAACAATCGTATAGGACGAAGAACGGCTGTTAATTCGGCGCAAGTCGAAAAGCGATTTTCACTTCGAGATTCATTGTTCGGTCAAGAGTTTAAAAAGGAATTATCGTTGGATGGGGAGAGGGAGTGAGGGGGCATTTATGATGAAAGGGGCTGAATGCGCGCTTTGATAGGCGAAATTCGAAATTCGGGGCAAGATAAATACGCGGGTTCTCCTGCCAAGAGGATTTTGTTCGATAGGAAAGCACCGGTGAGAAATAATAGAGGGTCAGCTGCGCGGGGCGGATGTCATTACCAGTCGCCGCATAAAAAGCTGTCTCTCGTACAACAGACTATTTGCAATTAGCACAGTACAATCCCTGTGTCGGAAAAGCAACGTAACATCCAATATTTCTCATCCCTGCGTATTCGGAAATTTTATTTTTTTTTTTTTTCCCCTTCGTTGATATCACAACCATACCGCGTAAAACACAAATACTATCCCTCGAATTGATCTATCGTGTGTATAAATGAAGTGAAATACGTTGAAAGATAATTTACGTATGATTTTTTTATTCATACTGAAAAATGAAACATTTAATTCCTAATTCTCTGGGAAATATAATCAACGATATTTATCACGTTTAAATATTATAATAAATAAACTAATAAGAATAGCGAGAGGGGGAAAAAAAAAGAAAGAAAATAAATGACTGAACATCTCTCGTATTGATGATGGATGCTAAAAAGCACTCTAGGACCAAAGTT